ATGCACCGTATGACCCAGTGTGTTAGATATCATTGGTGTTTATCAATACACTGGTTCTCTTGTTTTTCCTATGTTCAAAGATGGTGCTGAATAACCACGGCAGGTTACGTGACCGGTTCTGGGCAGCCGGTTGTGAGTGGAGTGCTGTGTGGTGTTTCTCACTGGTACAAGATCCTCTCCTCTCACTCCTTTCCTCTCCCAGTGATGGAGACACTCAAGTGATCCCAAGGGGGCACCTACAAGATATGGCCCTCCATTGGCCTAGGTCTCTAACAGACTGTGGGGAGCTGAGCCCCTTATTGACTCATGGTGGACATATAGTGTGAATGATAAGTATTTCTTTGGTTGAACAACTAGAACTGCCAAATAAATGAGTGCTAACCTGAAAAACTCCCAGGTCAACAGTTTCTCCAGGGTATAGACATAGAAATAGGACTGCCAGGCATTAATACAGAACCTGGCACAGAACTGGCATTCCCTAAATGTTGATGAGTGAAGTCTAGCTTAGCTTACCCTAGTTTCAGATACATAGAAAATAAAATCCAACGCTTCCCATCAAGGAGCTTAGAGAAGCACACAAATACTCACAATACAGCATATCGCCCCTTTTGCGCTGTTCAGTAGAGCAGCCACTAGGCATGTGAATGCTTGGAATGTGGCTAAGGTGACTGAGGAACTATATTTTTAATTTTAAAAATTGAAGTAGTATAAAATATCTTTCCATTAAAAACTTGTGTTTTGGTAGGGTTGCTGATTCCAATAACTGAAAATTTAGCATTAAAATTGAAACATGTTGTATATGTAAAATACATACCAGATTTCTGAACCTCATTTTTTTTAAAGTGTATAATGTCACAGTAAATATTTTGCTGAAGATATTTAAATAATATTCTAGATGTATTGGGCCAAATTAAATGTTTATCTGTTCGTTTTACTCTCTTAAAATGTGGCTACAAATTGGCTCACATTTGATGGATGTGGAAACCTTAAAATGCAACTCATACTGAGCGTAGCTGTGGCAGCAAATGACTCTACATATTGCAAAGCAAAGGGCTTTGCAGATACCAGGGGGTACTAATGCCGCTCCTGCCAAAACACTATCCAAAACATTGCATTGCTTAATTTATCCTGTCATTTATTAACAAAATGTAGTAATTGGAGGTCCTTCAAAATCAAGGTAAGAACACACACTCAACACAGCTCTGCCCCCCTACTCACTCCTGTTTTGTTAAAAATGTATTTCATGACATGTACCTACAAGTTAAGCTATTTTCTAAATGAAGTAACATGATAAATGAAGTCTCACTGAAATCAAAGGGCATCATGTAAACCTGGTGAATCAGGTGTTATTTTCTTGAGCTTTAGTTTTAACATGTTTTCTGTAACAGTGTGCGTTAGTGATGGCCACTTCCTAGCTTTACACCCTTGAAGTCAATTTCCACCCATGTTCCCTATTTGACTCACCACTCTACAGCTATCCCTGGTACCCCATGCATAATACAGATCCTCTTCAGTTTCCTGCTCCCTTATTTAACTCCACTCTCCCCGAAATAACTACTGGCAAAGGTATTAAATGACAGCATGGGATTCAAAGATGACGACTCATTTTAACTCAGAAACCAACAGGTCAAAATGCTGAACTTAAGCAACTCATCTCCATCTTCCTCAGATCTGCCAGTATTTGTCATAAGTCCAGTTCTCTTCCTTTCCCTTTATGACTCCTTGGGGCCTGGTAATGAGATGAGGAAATTAAGTGCCTCTTTAAATATCCTCATACTCTTGCATCTCAAACGTATGTGGACTCAGGTGCAAGAGATCATTGGAGAGATGACATCAACAGTGCAAGTACACTCACGTGGTCCAGGGGCTCATCACTGCCTGGGAACTCTTCCACCTGAGACATGGAAGGCAGGTGAAAGGCCCAGATACATTCTCTGCTGAGGCCACTAACCATGACAGAAAAATTGCCACTGCTGTCCAAACCAGCACCTCTTGTGAATTTACAAGCAAAACAAAACAAACATAGCCTGGTCTCCTCATATTAGGGTGTGCAAGGTTAACCATCCCATCAGTGCATCTAATTCTAAAAATACCCCGGTAGACTTCAAAACACCTGTTGTGTAGAATGATGCCTCTGATTCAGAAATGTCTAATACAAATAAGCTATGTAATAAACAGTTATCTGCATAACATCTGAAATGAAAGGGCAAAGAAAATTTTTGTTGCTTTATTTAACAAAATTTATGCCAACTCCTATATCTATATACAAACATGTTTCAAAAGCACAGCAGCAGACACACAAACTGTTAACACAGGAATTACAATAATGCTTAAAACATGTTACACAATGTTTTGTTTCTGCTCATACAGACATTTACAGATTTAAAAATTATTCCAAAGGCCGTGCAGCATCACATCTTCAATTTCTGGGATGGATTATATAGCATGTCCTAGAGAAAGCTGGAACTTTTGAAACACTGTGTTGTGTTCAGTCCAGTTCAACAGACAGCACTTGGCCCTTAATGAAGGCTTATGAGATGTTCTGGACTGGGGATAAAAATTTCAATAGTCTATTAAAGTATACTTTGGGTCAGGTTTTTTAAAAACTTTTACTCTATTTGTCAATATCATAAATATAACAAAATCTCTGGTCCCCCCCAAAGAAAACCTACTTTAAAAAATAAATTCAAAATGATTTTATTGGTAGTATTAACAAAATGTAGTGACTGGAGGTCCTTCAAAATTAAGGTAAGAACACACGAATACCCAACACAGGTCTGCCTCTACTCCCTCGTTTTGTTAGAAATGTGTTTATTTCATGACATGTGCCTACAGGTTAAGCTATTTTCTAAAGCTCTTTATATAGGGAGGACAGCTACTTTTTGCTTTCCCATTTTTGACTTCCAGAAACCCTTCACTCCTTAAAAGGTATGCTAGTTCTGAAAATCCTGAAAAGCTTTGCTACATACTGTACTCATGCAATTAAGCTCCATCAAAGTATGCAAGTTGTGTTTTTAGATAATGTTTGAAAAACAGTTGATGCAGCAAACTGCAAATACTTCATGTTGACAGTTAACACTCTGACCTGATTCAAGGCCAATTCTCAGTTTAGCTTTTCAGTAAAAAGCACTATGTGGTGAGGAATAGGAGAGAAAAAAAGTAGGAAAAAAAAAAAAAAAACCACAGCCTTTTCTTCTTCACTCCTTTCCCCATCCCAGGAGCTTTTTTTCATGCCATAGGAGTACAAGTACGTAAGATGGATAAAACTTTGAATGCTCTCCTTTACGTAGTAAAATGGTACCAAAAATCTACTTCCCCAAAATCACCAAATAAAAATGCACAAGGACTAAATGCAGTAATAAAATGATCCACAGGGGTTTTTACTCACTTGTTCATATAAACCAGACCCCATCATTCCTGTGCTTTTATTTTCTAAAAGTGAGATTAGACCCTTATAAAAATGTACTTTCAAAATAAACTTCTAGAATATAAAAACATTCTACATTTTTCCAGCCCTTGTATCATTATAAAATAGGAAATCAGAAAATTAGGTACTGCAATTTTCATATGGTAAAAAATATTTTATGTGTACACACACATATATACACATATATAAAAATGCAAGTTTTAAATTTCAATAAAAATTAACTTGATCATGTATTGAACTATACAAAAGAAATGTTGATTATCTGTAATGAGAACAAACTGCAAAGGATTGCAATCCCATCTACAGGAATCTAAGACTTTCCCATATGAAAAAAAAAAAAAAATCAGAGCCTCCAATTGACTACCCAGTAAGATAGAAATCATTGGTGTCTTTTTCAGATGTAACCCCTCAGTTTCATTCACTGCACCCCATAAATCACCTAAGGCAGGAATAGCTCCTGGAGGGAGGAAAATGCAATTTGGGGCTGCCTCATGGCTATGCCCTCTGTGCTCTACCTGAAGGTCAGTGCCCCGCTGCACAGTCAAGTGAAGACTAGAATCCAGTCTTGAGCATTTGCCAAGCCATCTATCTGCCCAAGAAGCTGTGCTTGTGCAGGGGGTGGGCCTTTTCCTAAAGAACACAAATGTGTTGTGTAGATAAGCAACAGTCCTGACATCTGCTGGTAGAGTGGGGAGTGGGAGTGTTCCCCGAGCTGCTTCCCCGAGAAAGCTGAGCGGCAGGGTAAGCATGAATGGGGTTAAGACAAATTAGAAACAGAGGGTTAGGGTTACTATCAATGAAAATCGGGGATCATGTTCCTACAACTTTAGCAAAAATAGTGGGAGGTCTTTACTTTGTTGACTCCTGAAATTTTCTAGTAATTTCATGACGGAAAACCTTACTCAAAGGCACAGAAGAAACAGAAGTGGGCAAGGAAGTTGTGCTAGGCCACAGGAAGCCTCTTAAGAAATGGCAAAGGGAGGCTATTGTCCACGACTCAAAAGGGTTCAAGAAGAGAGAATAGACAGCATCCACCCAGGGTCTCTGCATGAATCCCAAATGAAAACTAAAAGGCATATGAAACCCCTTTCATAACTTTAAAAGCCTTGTTTGCAAGTTTTATCTATGTGTAAGCCTGTTCCCTTGCATTTTAAATTGGTCACTTAAGTTATGTTTCTGGGAGTGGTAAGGGCGAAGAGAAAACAGTTCTAGGTATTTTCCTTCTGTAATTTTTTTCTTTGCAAAAAGATACATTCCCTTCCCAATTGTCATAAATCAATGTATTTTAAAGAAAGTAAAAGCTAAATATTTGAAAATGTTATTTTTCTTCTAACACTTGCTGTGAAAGGAGTAAATTCAGGCACAGTTGAAAACATTCTTTAAAATAAAAGCAAAACTCTTTGTGCTATATGGAACATTTGGGAGTATTACAAAACCAGGAAGGGAGTAAAAGAATGGACATTTCTCTACAACCAAATTTAAGATAGTAGAGTAGAAAATGTAATTCCCATTGTGCACCAAATAATCAGAATGCAAGTTAATGAAAAAAACAAAATGGATGTGCACACCAAAACATAGGTTTAATTCTTCAGTAGTATTTATATGAAGAGCATGTGTAAAACATTTTCAGTCTGCCCCTCTGAATGGGTTATGAAAGACCTCTATGTACTTAGAAAAGTGGGTGCTAAACAAAGAAAACTCTCAAATCCCACTGAAAATCTGTTCAAAGTTTCACAGGCTCTCTCCAGAAAAATGCGTATGTATCAAATTTGTGTGTACAATTTCAGGGACCTCAAATACATTCTGGGATCCAATCACATACTTCATGTTCAGACCCCTGGCTCCCAATATACCTACAGTTCTGAATGAAGAATTAGCAGTCCTCTCATTTCTACAGTCTATATTTCTTCTGCTACTTATTCTGGGTGCAGGGACTCCAAACCAGAATAAACTAAAAGATAAATTGCTTCAAAGAGTAACTGTTTACTTATTTGCCCTTGGAGGAAAGCACATCCCAGTCTCTAGTTGCTTCTATCAAATGCCGTTGGCCGTGACTCATCCACTCTTCCTGGTCTTCATACAGCCGCCCACAAAACCAGCACTTAAACACACACTGTAAGGAGTCATCAGGCAAGGAATCCACTACCTGGTAGTTGTTTTTATGAACTTTTTTGAGTTTCATTTTCAACATCATTTGCCTTTTAACGTGACTGGCTTCTTCTGCATTCTGGTAGGTCAGGCGTACATGATGTCGTCTGATGCCTAGCTGACACCTAGTCCTCTCTGATAAAACAACTTTGAGGACATTGCCTTTGTATTTATTTATTACCTTCATCACATTGGTCACTTCTGGTGAGTCCACATCAGGGTGGTTTAACACAATGACTGGCTGGTTCCGACGGGGACACTTAATCAACTGATCTGGCTTAGCTGCTATCAGCCGAAGTTGTCTTGCAACTTGAAAAATTGAAGGATCCTTGAGAGAACGGCTGGGTTCAGCCTGAATTTTGTTCTTCTTCTTGGCTAAGTGTACTTGTTTGGTTTTATTTCTACTTACAGAAAGATTTCTGGAAAGCAGTCTCCCTTGCTTATTTAATTCACTGCTTCCTTGCTGTCCATGCAGAGTGCCAGTTTTTTTAGAGATGGTGCTACAGACAGCACTCTCTTTTCTCAGTTTAGGCCTTGGAGGTGTCTCAAGATTTTGGGACATATCTATTGGCCCCCTTTCACTTCTTAAAGGCTGTAAGTCTGAGTCTGCCTGTTTCACAGGGCAAAATGGAGCTGGTTTTAACTGTGTTTCGCTGCGAGGTATGCTGACAGGTGCTTCACATGTAGCCTCTATGATGTGGGCATCCTCAGAGGAATTAAGAACCCTCAGCACAGCCCCTTTGGGGATTAACACTGGTGTGGCAACATGAGCCTTCCTGGCCACTCTTCTTTTGGTTTTCCTAACACTGCCATCTGCAAACTGTGGATATATTTGTTGATGAGTAAGTTGTCTGTTACCAGTAACACCATCATTCGGAGATTTCTGAAGAGTACCTGTGGGATGGTCAGGGCCAGTGAGTGACACATTGATTTCCTGAATACCTTCAGAGGTAGCTTCTGAAGTTACCTTTGACGCCTGCCCTACAGAGCGACGATGTGCACTATTTGAAGCCAAAGATGAAGGCTTGCCACAGGACTCAATTAACTGAGCTATCTTTCTGCGCAACAGTTCGATTGACTTTATTTTAGATGTTGAGCTATTCCACCTGATGCCCTCGGGGACATTTTCAGATCCAGAGCTCAGAGAAAATACTGATGAGATGACTGGGCCATCATTAGTGTTATTAGTCCTTTCAGAATTATTTAATTCCAAAGGCTTATCCCCAGGCTGTTGAGGTCTATCTTCTCCGGTTATGTTAATATGTAAATACTCATTTTTATGTTGAGAGGAAATCTGGCCTACACTTGAAACCACCTTGTGTTCCTCTGTCTGGTTATCTTCCTGCTTCCTAATAGAGGAAATCATTTTTACAGGAATACTCATCTTTCTTCTAGATTCCAAGTCATTTTCACTTATAGGCAATAAGCCCTTTTCTCCAGAAAAGGGAAAGGTTGCAGGTGATGCAGCAAAAGGGAATGAATTACTGTGTAAATTTCTTCCATTTTCAGCAAAACAAACAGCTTTATATGGAAAAGGGTTTGATGCAGCTCCAAGACTACGTAAAACACTGTTTTTCAATACAGATGCTAGAGAATGACCTTTTAAGGCAACAGAAGGAAAAGCAGTTCTATGTGGATACAAATTATTTTTTTTCTGAAAATCCTCAATTGTTTCAGAATGAAGGAAGGATTTTCCATGGTGGTGCACACTAGAATCTGGCATAATAAAATCGTAAGACCTTACCCATTTCATATTTTTAAGTTGTTTTTGAACTGAAGATTGAAAACTATCAATGCCCACAAGTTTTCCAACATTCTCATCAATCGTCAGTGACTTTGTTTTTTCTGCAGAAAGTATTTTTTCTTGTTCATCTGAACCCTTCTCTTTCGCCATATGTTCAGAATTACCTTCATTGCCCCTCCCAGCTTCAAGGCAAGTATTTTCTTCCAGCGGAAACAGTTTCAGAACAACCTGCTGTGTACCATTGACAACCTTCACGTCTATCAACTGGGCTAAACAGTTTGCAGGGACAACTAGTTCTGCTGGTGCAACAACTGTCAACGGCATACCTGGCTGAACAGGTTCTTTCGCAGGGGATAACACTTCTACTTCAACATTTTTGTTCTCAAACAGATTCACTTCAGTTGGCTCAGAAAGGGTCATTTTATTTGGAATACAAACTACATCTTTTTCGTATTCCTTTGGTTCGGGTAACATGATATTGTGCATTTTGTCTTTATTTGCATGGAGAGAGAAACCTGATAGTTGATCTGACCACTTATTTTGAATTGCAGCCCGTTGACTGGATGCTTTTAAAAGGTCTGGGTTTTGTTTTGAAGTGCCGGTTCTTTTTGGCTCCGGCTTGGCAACAGCTTTGACTGGCCGTTTTGCACCTGCCCTTTCATGTACTCTCTTGGTGTGTTTGACAATATAATCATTTCTAATAGCACCATAGTCACAATACTCACACTGATAAGGAAATATGCCTGTGTGTTTCACCAAATGCCTCTGAAACTCCCCTTTTGTGTATGAAATGTAGCTGCAGTGAGAACAAATGAATTTAATCTCCTCATGTTGAAGGGTGTGCTTTTTGTACTGCAGCGGGTCCTTTGTGGAAAATCGACATTTATCACAATAGTATTTGCCTGGCTTAAAGTTCCTTACCTTAAATTTGTTATTAACAGAACTTGAGAAGGTGTCAGCTCTATTTCCAACATGAGTAGCACTGGGATTATTGCTCACAAAATGAAAACTGGGAGAAGCTGCACCGAGGCTACACTGGAAGCAGACATACATACCGTCCTTCCCTGTACCCTTCTGCAAATCCTGAAGAGAGATCTTGTGAACACTTTTGCACTTTGCACACGTAGCAATGGTCATCATGGCACCCTCTGCCTCTGAGCCTTGATACAAAATGGTTGGTGTTTCCTGTCTATCTGGTCGAGGTGCTCCATTAGCATCAGGCTGTTTCGGTGACATGGTCAAGGAATTATGTCCGCCGTTCACGTGTGTACTGTACAGCTGCTGTCCGATATCCTTCATCTTCTTTATCTGCATTTCTAAAAAGAGCCGACTAAAGTTCAGAAAGCTTTCACATGATAAAATCCTTAGGAGACATCCTTCTATACAGTTCGTGATAGGTAGAGGAGCAGCTACTTCTTGGGTGCATACTTATCTTTTTTTATATACTGCCACAGTAGGCGCATGATCCCAAAATATGACTGCTTTCAATTCTCTGATATTCCAGGTAACACTAAAGGAAAACAAAATTATAAAGCATGATTAATATAAGAGTTTGGCTAAGCTATTAACAAACTTATCCTATATTTTTATGGCCTTGGACATTTTATGGTAAATCTCAACATATGATTTTAGACACGTGTTATACACTCAGCCCCTTATAAATTACCACTTTAGCCAAATCATGAATGAATATAGATATACCAGGAGCAAGGACATCATAGCAACCATTCAGGAAACCTTTGATCAGAGAAAGTCATTTTTAAGTGTCAGTGAACATATCTTTCATAGGTATAATTTCATACTAGCTTCACAAAAATGTTAAACAGGACAATGTCAGTTCAGTTTTTGAATAAGTTACCTATCAAATGGTAGAGCTAGGGCTTTGGCCTTGGGTGTTCACATTTGTTTCTACATTATAGCTTATTATCAACATGGATATCAACTCTCTAACTCACATGCTTAATTTGCTTTCATGAGTGGTACAAAGCCCATAATACTGACAATGTTAGGAAGCCTGCCTCAGCATCTTATTGAGAATCTATTACGTGCTAGGGATTATTCTAAAGTGCTGTAAGGCAGTGAAAAAAAGCAAATCAGTCCCTATCCTGGTGATGTACACACTGCAGAGGGGGAAACAGATTACACATCTGCCAATGATGGTAAGGTAACTGGGAAAAGAAATACCATAAAGCAAGGCCAACAGGACAGGGAAGGCCACCGTGATGAGGTTGCAGGGCTGGGTGTGGAGGTAAGGACAGTCAGGAAAAGCCTTATGCTAAGTTCATGTCTGAGCAGAGACCTGGGGGCAACCGGGAGTTAGCACTTTGGCTGCTGGGAAACAGTTATTTCAAGCAGAGAAAGGGCAAACGTCTGTGGGAAGGGGGCCTGCTGTTCCTGAGGAACAGTAAAGGGGGATGGGGAACATGGGACATGGTCCAGGAAAGACAACCCACTATTGCATGGACGTGGCTAGGGAAAGGGCAGGGCAGAAAGGAGATCACCAAGGGCCTGGAGCACAATAAGTGTAAGCACTCCAATATACACAGAGTGACTCTTTTATACGATCTTTAAAGGCACTTTTTTTCCCCCAGAATATGCAGCACCAGGAGCCTAACAAAATCCATTCTAGCTTGGAATCTGTAAAAAGTATTTCATGACTTAAGAAAGTAACTTAGATCTTCCAAACCTCAATTTTTCATGTGGCAACTAGAATTGGGAACAATTATCCAATCTCTCCCAGAGCCACCATGATGATTAGAATGCTAGAGTATAGGGGAAGACTTTTGAAATTTTCGAGTCCTTCTCCAAGTGTCAAGGGGCACCCATAGGGACTCAGTCAGTGTTTGTTCAATGACAATGATGGGTGGAAACACAGATAGCTTCCTTCTGGCACAGTGCTAACAGGCCAAGAGCCATATAAAGGTAGTCTGAAAGACCGACATGGGGAAATGAAAAGGCCCCTCCACAAGGGCTCAAGAGATGCAGCAGTGGCACACTCAGATATGGTGTAAAACTTGCCTTTCAAAAGCAGCTGCTTTGGAAAGCACCAAAACACCACATGATATCTAATGACAAGTTGTATTTTCTTTGGCAGTGTTTTCTTTTCCTACTCTACTTTTGTGACTAGATAGCCACCTTCTTCGAAAGCACTTTCCAACATGAAATCAAGCCCTCAATCAGACTTGCCCTATCATAAGTATACATACAACACTTAAGACATTAAGCAGATGGAGGCCTGCAGGGTTGCAGCGGTGAGTTGGGGGAACATCTAACCCCTCAATGTTCAAACACATACCTGTGTTGGACAGGACACATGAATGCCTCAAACTAGCAAACACATACATGTGCAAAGATAAGGACTTTCACATTCCACTGCATTTCTGGTAAAGACAACAGAACTTTCAGAGGAGTCTTTATTAGAAGCTGGCATACACTTTAATTTTCAGACTTGCAAGGGCTTTAGTGAAGGAAGACAGAAGTAATTCCCAGGTTTTCTGCTGTTCATCAAATGACCTCAAGCAAGAACTCACCTGCATCTCTTACTGATATATTAAAAAAAGGTCCATGACTTCTATGCCCAGTCTGATGCTGCTGATCCTTGAAATCACACAATTGTTCATCTAAAAATGCTACTATCCTCAACACTGTCATGTCAGCATTGTTATCCAGGTAAAACAGAAAAACGGCAACCAGAACCCCCCCAAAAAAAAGCCCAAGGAATGCAGAGGCTAAAGACTGGGTATAAAGGAGATCTGGTCCAGCAGTTCTTAACCTGGAGAAGCCTCAGAATCAGAGCAAAAATGGACATTCCCAGACTTCATCTTGAAGCAAATGAATCTAAGACTCAGGAGAGAAGGAAGAAAATGAGATTTTTTTTGTGGCATGTAAAGGCACCTTAAGTAATCCTGATGAAAAGGCAGCATTCCAAATTACTCATTGAAGCTTCTGGCAATATTTAAATCCTTAACTATCTTGTCCAATTGACCATGCAGTTGACGGTTTAATATTGTCATAAACAAAAAGCCACTTCCCTCTATAGGCAGCCAATTTTATTTTCACGTAGTTCTCATTATCAACAATTTACCCTTAAACGAAACAGAAATCAGCATTCCTGTAAATTTCTTTGACTCTGGGCAACAAAAATAAACTTAATTCCTCTTGATCAACCAGTTACCAATCTGTACATCTCTTCTCTCATCCTCAGTTCTCCAGTCTGCTCAAAAGATTTGCATCCAAGTTGATAGGTACGTTTATGCTCTTATCTACCAACCTCATAATATTAGTATGTGTGTGATAAACTTAATCTCTGCCTGCCACAATTTGCTTACCAACTATTTCAATACAACACCCTCTATATTGGCCCTAAGAAATTCTCAACTAAGTCATGTGACAAGATTTCTCTATTTGAACAATCCTCCAAACCAGGATTCCAGTGGCTCATTTTCAATGTTTCAGCTCTTGCTCAACCCCTAGGAGTCCAAAAATCACAGAAGCCACTTTTGCCATTTTCCTCTCTCAGTCCTTCTAAAAAGTTGAGGGGTATGTGTGTCATTTATTCTAAAACTGAATACTTGAAAATCTGAGACAGATTAGACAGTAAGATCACGTCCATCAGCAACGAAGGGAGAGCATTCCAGACAAGAAAAGTCCCTAGAGAATACACCAAGCCAGCCAGAGTGCATGAGGTAAGCAGAGTCCTCCTGGAGGGTCCTCTGCAAAACTGTCTCAGCAGTTATTTTGAATTAAGAATCCATGGGAGGAAGCGCCAATATGAAGAATGCAGCCATGATTATTAGCAAATGCAGTGTGATGGGGAAGGCAGGACATCTGGGCCATGACTGAACTATGTCACCAGTTTGAAAGTATCTGCTTGGCTTCTAAACTATGCTCAATGTTACTAATGCAATGTTACTACATTGACACATCTCACTGTTCAAGTGAAATAGATGTGAGGTTTCTTCAAACTGAACAGATGGGAGTTCTCTTCAGCCTTTGTAACCTGCGTGTCTACTGACAGGGTAAAATGCACCTCAGATGTAATACTCCAATACAAAGGTAAACAGACGCAGCCGCACGGCAGAATGAAGATGGCTTTGATGTTGGTATTTACACATGGACACTCCTGAGGGACATCCGGCATATCTGTGTAAAAGGCTCTTAGCCCCTGTCCCTTCAACACAACGTCTTCCATGGTTCACACCCAAGTACAGACACCTGTGAAGCTGAGTCCTCTTGGCAAGTTATGGCCCTCTGGGTGGATGACCAAGCAGTACAAAAGGCACTGAAGACAAAGCTGTGCATGGGTATGCTAGCACTAAAAGGGCACTCAATAAATCACTATTAAGATCAAGGTCAGTGTTCGCCTACCCTGCAAACTCTCAACATATGTTACAAAAGCCTCTGCATTTGACCTTCTAGGACAATTCAGATAGGAAAGCTCTCAAAAACACAGAGGATAGTAACATTAACTTTATGGCACAACAAATACGATGTCCATTTATTAATTTGCCTGTTTTCAAAGAATTATTTAGCAACATACAGTGAATTTTCTAATGTAGAATGATGTACAGCATGAGCCAAAGAAGACTGCTATGCGGCAAAGGCAAGTGGCACAGTGTGTCACACATGTGCTCTCTGGATTCAGTCTTGTCTTTCTTCAAAGGAAAGACCTGGAAATAGATCTGAATGTATTCACTGTTGGTGGGTTTTCTTTTGATTTTCAGCTCACTTGCCCTGTTTTCTTAAAAGACTTATTACGGGGACCAAAAAAAAGGTATCAAGTTTGGAAGAATCCAGATCAGTGACATTGAGGGCTATTAAAAAAACATAAAAGACTGTGTAAGTTCCTATTAAAAAGGAAGCATTTGGACTTCTAAATATTGGAAACATCTAATGCTCAACAGAATCAGAAGAGAAATTGTGTTTAAATCTAGAGATTCTGGAACCATAAGGTTTAAAATCCTAGCTCTATCACTTTCTAGATATACGACGTAGGTATGCAAACTGTCTTGTATAATAAGACAGTTTTTTTTTTAACACCTGTAAAATAAGACAGCAACAGTACCTACCCCATAGAGTTACTGTGAGGATTAAATTACTGACATATGCTGTTAAATTAGTTTCCATTTTTTAATAAAAAATATACCAATCACATAGTCAGAGGGGCTAAGATACAGGCTTCTTAGCTGCCTGATTAACTCCTCTATTCAGAACATGCCCTGAATCTCACTTTATAATTTTAATCCTGTGTGTTTGGTTATACAGCCTAAAAGATAATTTACCTCTGTGGCACAACCACCCGCCTAGCTTTAGTGCCAAGAGCTAACAGCTGTTTATAATCACCATAGAAAAGATGCTCCAACTACAAGAGTATGCACTACAACTTAGAGTTACATATAAACTAGTTACTAAACTACCTTTTCCTCACCCACTTCTCTCAAAGCTCAGCCAAAGTGGGAAATATCCCTGCAGCAAATGAATGTGTTTCTGTGATAAATGCTGTGTGAAAAGGAAAGGTGAGCAGCCAATTATATCGCATGCATGCTACATGGACCTCTGTTCATGAGATGCCCAGCAAGCTCAGTGTTAGTTGACTGACTGTATCCTTTTTGGATGGAGAAGCAAACTTAAGCAGCTCTTTTCAGCAATTCTGACCCAAAAGTTCTCCTTTGAATGTGACTTCTACCATACCCATCACTGCGGCAGGGTATAGCTGCTGTACGCATGAAGATCACATGGAATGGACTCGTAAAGTTTACAGTTCAAACTCTGATCCTGTATCTCATTTGCAGGGTCTTTCAGCAAAGGATTTTTCTCTGTGCATTGCCAGGCAAGGAATTACGCTTTACATCAGCAAACTTAAAGCATGATCTGGAGATACAAACTAGATAATGGATGCAAAGCACTTAGCCCAATGGCATAGCCACTTACAAATTATATCTACACTCCTTCTGTCTGTTTCACCATAGCAAAGGCTTGTCTAACTTTTCCCAGTAACCAAAATTTTAAAACAATTCTACCCCAAAGTGCCCAGTAAACAAAACTTGATCAAGAAAAAAAAATTCAACATTAGACATCAACTGCCAAAATTTCCCCAGTAGGATAATATTGAGGAAGAAACTGTTGCCTCAGAAAGAGCTTTTTCAGACCATTAATATGAATCAGAAGCAAACTGCTAGGTAAACAGACTTAAAGGAGGGAAAAAATCCATTAAGTGCCATAATATTTATGCCAAACTACCTTGCACTGAGATGACTGAATTGCAAATTGATTGCCATCTTGATGATGAAAAATATATCCAAATGCTGCTGATAAATGTGCCACCCCCGGGATCCTGGATTTCCATCTGAAAGCAAGTGTACTGCTTGGGCAGCAGAATGGAGCAAGAAGGCTGCAGGAGACGGCCCAATTCCTCTGCTTTCCAGGTGAAAGCAGCTGAGTTTAACAAAGTAGAGAATAATGACTTTGGGCCATCAAGAACAAGGTTCAAAACCCAGGTGTTTGGTTTACTAGTGTGTGATTTCAAACTTGTTAACCTATCTGGGCCTGAATGTTCTCACTCATAAAATGGTAATATTTCTAATTTATACAGCTGATGTGACGATAAATGAGAAAAGAGTGTATGGTAACTTTATGCTTGGCAAAGAGTAGATGTTTTGTTAAGAAATCAGTCAATATTTTTTTTAAGATCCCTTCTCAGGTAGAAGAGTCCAGTAATGTCCAGAGAAGCAGACACTGGTTAGCTTAACAAATGAATCTGACAAGGCAAAGGTCTATATCAACAGTTCATTAGTCAGCAGGAAGTGGGGGTCTTCTCCCTACCCTGTCTACAGGGAGTTTTTGGAAATTGACTTGACACTGCTGCACACATCAACTGAGCCTACATCAGAAAACAAAGGAAGTAATATTATACGCTTTCTTTTTCTTAGCATTTTAAGAAGAAAAAAATCTTTCCAAAGAAGAATATAGCCAGTATTAGAGTGCTTGATTTCTAAAATTTATGCTTTGTATGCAAAAA